GATAGTGCCAATGGTCACCTCCCTCCTCCCCCCGGCCTCGACGTCATGCTCTGCCACTGCCAAGGGCTCTGGGACTCTAACCCTGCGTGACGGGCGCTATATAAATGTAAGTTGTTGGTGTTATTAGTTGAACTTATGTTAAGTTTCTTCCAAGTTGAGACAACACGAGGAATGCTTTTGTAAAGAGGTTACAGGCCACACTCCAAAGTCAGTGCATTTGGAACCTCCTCCCCCCAACCCGAGAAATATTTAGAAAGGTTAAATGTTAATGCACCTAATCTAATTTTGATTCCAACCGCGATGTCAGGCCGCTGGTGGAAGCAATGGACCCTGACAGGGTTCTGGCTTTCCTAGAAATTTTCACCATAAAAGCTTCGGCTTGGCTGCCAGACATCTTTGATGCTTCTGTCGGAGATCAAAGCAACACCTCTCTCAAAAAGGCCCGTGAGAAGCTGTGTGCATTTGAAGCCAGTACTTTGTATCTCACACAGCTGTAAGGAGACTGGCCCTATCCCACAGACAGCACAAACCCAAAGCAGGTTCCCCGTACAGAGGTCTGTTTTTCGCTCTTTCGTTCACCAGACAGACCTTCCATTCTCCATAGCTCCAGAAAACAATGTCTGCCAATCTGTCACGCACACAGCTGACCTGTAACCTGCAGTAGGTGGTGGGGTGGGGGGTGCGCGGGGACTGGGGCGGGTTAAATGCACCCATTATAGCTTCGCAATGCCCTCCTGTCATATAAAATCATAGCAGTTAATAATAATGCTACTAATAATAATCCTTGAATTTGATGCAGCGCCTTATCACATCTTCAGACGTCTCAAAACGCTTCACAAAATATACTGTAAAGTGAATTGACTGTGTATTTTGTGGGCGTTTTGCCCACAAAGTAAGTGAGTAATTGCTACTCAGCACAGCACAATAGCTCACGACAGTATTAATGTTTCGTCATTAACCATCTCTTGCCTGGACATTGGGTGGTGGGGTGGGGGGGTGGGGTGTGGTGCGGTGGGTGGCGGGGGGGTGTAGGGGGACATAATTTGTATTAAAATGCCTATTAAAATCCATTTTGGAAAATTCTGAGCACGAGAGATTTATGATGCTGCGCAGTAGGAATACACCACTACTTACCAAAAACTTGTTAGCTACTAAAATATCCTAATGAGTAACATTCCAAGCCCGTGTGTGCTCCCTGTGTGCTCCCTGATGGAAGAATCCATGCCTTGTGCTCTGAAATTCAAGGAAAGGATGTGGGTTTTCAGCATTTTATTACTAAGTAACTGCTAATATATTAGCGAGTAGGGTAATGGTGTGACAGGACTAGTTGGAGGCTGGGGATGGGTGGGGGGGGGTGGTGCGGGGTGGAGGGGAGCTGGGAGTCTTGCACAAATTGTAGTTGCCTACAAAACACACAGTCACTATGCTTCACTGTGAAAATCTCGCTTTGAGTTGACTTGACGGTGTGATAAGGGACTGAATCAAATGCAAATTATTATTATTATTTTTAATTTTTACTTTTGACACACAAGTGAGAGGACCCGGGTTCAATTCCCAGGCGGCGCGAAACTTTAGGAAAGTTTCCTTACTCCCACACATCTCTGTTTACCTAGCAGTAAGTAGGAACCCATTTTTTCGTCGATTAGTCACTCAGTTCATGACCGTTTGCGGGACACTGCTGTGGCACAATTGGCTGCTGCATTTCACCCACAAATACACACTCAATCCACTTTACAATCTATTCTGTGAAGTGCTTTGGGACGTCTCAAAGACGTGATAAGCCACCACATCAAATGCAAGGAATATTATTATCATTATAAATACTTTAGGATGTCTTCCCAATGCAAAAGGCCATTTTTATTATGTTGATTCAACCGACTTACTGTTAAACAGTTACATTTCTTCCACTTTTCTCCCTGGGCTTGACAACACTTCCAGTGCTATTGCTGCACTTTCTTATACGTTTCTTTGGCTGGATAGAGGATAAGATTGCTGTAATGTCTCCAAAGCTATTTATAAACCAGCAAAGAGCATAATGTGGATTTAAAGAGCATCACATTCAGTGTTCAAGTATGTTTCACAACGTGAAATCGGGACGGAAGGAATAGAGGGATGTTGAGTGAGAGTTGATTTGTACTCTAAATTACTTTTAAGGCAAAGAATATATATTTATATGTTCAACAAGCATTAAAGGATTAGCCACTTAAACACTGAGTACAGCTTCCTACCAGCGTTGGGGAAATCAGAGGGTACATTGTCAGAGGCATAGCAGATCGGATCAGCTATGATTATTATTATTATTATGAAATGAATGGCAAATCACTTTAATCCCTCAAAAACAAGTTTGGTCAATCAATCCATGACAATTTGTGGGACACTGCTTTGTGCAATTGGCTGCCGCATTTCGCCCACAAAATACACAATCACTACACTTTACAACATAATCTGTGAATTGCTTTGAGAAGTCCCAATGATGTGATAAGGCCCTATATCAAATGCAAGGATTATTATTATTATATCGAGCTCCAAAATTTCTGTGCCACAGTTTGAAAAGAAAAGGGCATTTCTCCCAGTGCCCCGGCCAACAATCCCCCAGATAAGATTGTTTGTCCACTCTCTCGCTGTTTCCGCCTTCAACTCTCTTATACTCCAAGGTGAATTGAATTCTAAATGAGTGATTTTTTCTATGTAAAGACCACAATCTCTTTGAAATCACTGCTGATCCAATAACGATCATTGATTTGCTACTGTTCCACTTGCTCTCGATTGTGATTTTTTTCGTCAAAAAATACACAATGTCAATTGATTAAATACAGTAATTGATTGTCAATTGATTGTTGATCAAATAATATTGATAAGTGACACTTCTATGAACATTTCAAACATCCCTGGCCAATAACATAGCATTAGTACATAAATATAACAGTGACCTACTTTCTGAGTGTCTGGGTGCTCAATGTTTTAGTATCTTTATAATAATCCCTTCAAAAAAAGTAATAATAATAATTTGGTCACTCAATCCACGACTGTTTGTGGGACACTGATGTGTGCAATTGGCTGCCACGTTTCACCCAAAAATTGCACCATCAATCCACTTTACAATATATACTGTGAAACACTTGAGAGGTCTCAAAGACGGTATAAGACCCTATATCAAATGCAAGGATTATTATTATTAAGTTCCCTATTTATCGTGCCAGAGAAGAAGGTAAGTCAGTCAAAGATCATATTTGAAGTTACTTCATTTCAGTATATACATTTGTGTTTATTTACAATCAATAATTGACTCATCTCTTTTATACACTAAAGACCTTTCGAAGCACACTAGTATAACAGCGTTTTTTTTCTCTAACAATAAATCGCTCTTGATAATCTAAAAACAAACACCTTAGGAATTATCCAATAATAAATACTATGGACGCGAGAGATACTAATATTTGATACAAGCAACATTTGCACTTTGTTCATACTGAATAAACAGTCACTTATTGCTTGATACATAACTTAAGAATATCATCTTTTGTCTCCCATGATGTAAACACCTTGGACTCCTCAAAATTGGAGCCCTTAGGATCTTGGTGCTATGAACCACATGATCGGAAATACAACACATATGTCGCTGTAAATATGTACCTGTACAAAACATCTAAATGAAACAAATAAAACAAAGAACATCAGAATTTTTACATGGGCTACATTATTTACATCCACTTTCCACCTCCCCCCTCCACCCCACCTAGCCTCACAAATGTTCTTATTTGATTTGTTTTGTTGCTCTATAAATCCGTAAATAGACCCATTGGTTAATTTAGTGCAGTTTTTTAAGTCCCTAACCTCTGAAAGTATTTTAATCAGAAATAGAAATACTAATATTCCAAAATGCATTCGAAGAATTTCTATGGACTGTAATCTATTATTCAAAAGATACCTAGTTGCCAAAGTATACATAACATGTCATCTTGGAGTCAATTCACCATGTATGGACTCTCCTTAATATCTTGTCAAGGTCCATCACTTTTTTTTAATCATGATATCACTATGTTATATAAAAAAACTTTATTGTTATAAATGGAGGAAATATTTAAATTTTCTGAGATCAATGTTTTCATAGATTAATTATTTTATTGGATTTACGTTGGAACTCAGATCCCATTACTTTTTTTTAAACAGAAAAAAATTGAGGAATTTGTTTAAACCCCACTTGTGTTGTTAAGCTTTGAGACATCCTCTCTGATGTGAAAGGCACCACATAAATGTAAATTGTTGTTTTTGTCCTCTTTGCTACTCCATGTGTAAAATGTAAAACTGGTCCCTCGCATATGTACAATATAGCTCCGTTCGTATTTGAAAATTATGAAGGATTTGTGCAATGATATGGCAAAATAAAAGTGTATTTCACTTAACAAGTGGGCCTGACAAATATTTTCTATTACAAGGAAGGCTTCTTGTAACAATTAAACAGCCGTGGGAAGGACTTATTTGTTGGTAACTGCACTGAGAGATGAAGCAAAATGAAAGGTGAGGCTCATTTCAGTAATATGTGATGTGTAGGCACATAGGTCTAAGTATTTAGGTCAAGTGCTCTGGAATGCTAGCCTGCATATTATGGGCGCTATGCAAATGCAAGTTGTTGTTGTATAGAATTGCACTGTCCTCCACTTCACACCATGCCTCGTCACAGATACTATTTGGTACACAAGTAAATGGCAGCCAAATAACTATAGGAAGGCTGTTTAAACAAGGGTGACTTTGCAATGAACTGAATAGGTGCCACTGATAATTTCTCTGATGCTTCTGTATGACAGTCACCATGCAGTCAGTCTCTAACTCGGTTTTAAACCGTTCATCTCTGAAACAACGCTTGACTATACATTGCAGATTAACATCCACCAGGTGGAACCCTTCACTCTACACTTCTCGTGTTGTTGCAAACAGCCTGTTTCAACGTCGTTAAAATAAATACAATAAAAATAGAAGGGGGTGGGGGGGTGGGTGGGGGTGGTGGGGCGCGGGGGGAGATGAATATTTCAACCACGCAACGTTTCTTTTATATAAAGCATTAGTCACTTGAACATTATAGCCAGTTTTTTTTCTCTTGTTCTTGTTGTCATCGTCGTGTGTTTTGTTTTCAATACTGAAGTCCAACATCCACAAACGTAAACATTCACGTATGTCAGATCGATCAGCCGAGGGCTTCTTTGAAATTAGCTGTTTTCAGTCCATTCGGGAATTATTCCCACCCCATGAACCGAGTGGTACTGATGTGGTGAAAGGTTCCTTGACATACCGTGGGGATACAAGTAGTCTGAGGGTTGAAGGTTGGTTGTCGACTGGATGCTGGGCTGAGGTCCGCACTGCCGGACTATGGCTTGGTGAGAGACTGAGGTTTGGTGCGGAAACATGTTATGGGTATCTCCTATCTGTGGAGATGTGTGGTTGGCCACTCCGGACATGCGTGCCATTAATGGGCCTGACGTGAAATGTGCTGAGAAGTGCTGGTATGGAAGTCTGTCCATGGGTTGCATTGCAGTCACTGTGCAGCTACTGTAGGAAGGGACTGTGGCCCAACTATTGCAGTTGATATCATCGAGGCTCGAGCCAGGGTCTGTGCCCGGTGTGGAGCCAGCGTACATGCAGGCTTGCCGCTGAGCTGAATCAGTCCTGTAGGAAGGAGTCAGGCTTTGCTGCTGGGAGTAATTTGAGGACCTGTAGAATGGGTCATCTTCTGGAGAACTTTCTATGTATGACTTCTTGTAAGGATGTTCTGCAGGGTTGCAGTCATCTTCCACTGCTTGGGGAAATAAACCAAATGGTTTGGGATCAAAGTTAAATAATAATAATAATGCTTGCATTTGATATAGCGCCTTATCACGTCATTAAGACATCTCAAAGCGCTTCACAAAATATATTGTAAAGTGAATTGACTGTGTATTTTGTGGGCGAAATGTGGCAGCCAATTGCGCACAACAGTGTCCCACAAACAGTTGTGGATTGAGTGCCCAAATTATTATTATTTTTATTTGTTTATTTTAAGGGATTATTATATCTAGAAAGCAATCATCCAATTAACTAACAACCGGGTTCTACTTACTGCTAGGTAAACAGAGTAGTGTGGAGTAAGGAAGATCGTCTAAGATTTTAATAAATCTCCAACAACAACAACAACCTCTCACGACACCAAAGTAGCACAAAAGGGCGTTCCAGCCTTGATGAGAAAAGGCATTGTTTTATTAATCTTTTGGACCAAAATTCCACCCGGCTTTAGCCCGCAGAACCATTTTATTTTAAAATGCACAGAATTCTGGAGCAGTCTTACATCCAGTCTTGGTTTGACTTTTTTTGTGGGGGAATCGGGTTGGAGAATTTCGTAATGAACTGCCACTGTACACAAACATATATATTTAATATGATTTGCATTGAATAATACTATTAATAATAACTTATTGAATGTGCCATGCTTTGTGCGTGAAGATGTCCCTCCCCTCTGGCTACCAAGCACCAAAAACGGTACCGATATGCACTCAGCTACAAAAGCTTGACAGGGGGAAGCTGTGTCGAGTGTAGGTTAGAATTGGAAGGTCACATGCTGTTTCAGATCACAGCATTCCATCTCGCCTCTTTAGCCCCAGAGATGTTTATTTTTTGACTCTCAAGAGGAGTAGATAACTGGTTATTTAAAGAAGCCACCCACGGCATAAAAAAAAGTGGTTCCGAATTCTCAACGGGAACTCTTCACCAGATGATAACTGCTTGATTTTCTTGTCGTTGCACAAAAGGATTGCTTCTAACAATGTTCATTTAATTGCCACGTCTTGGGGAGTGAATGATAATATTATTTAGATTTAATTGAGATGCTGAAAATTATGAGGGGTTTTGATAGAATAAATCGGCAGAAACTGTTTCTTCTGATGGGTGGGTCGGTAACCAGAGATACAGATTTAAGATAATTGACAAAAGAACTTGAGGGGAGACGAGGAATAATTTTTTTAAGTGGAGAGTTATTACGATCTGGAATGCATTGCCTGAAAGGGTGGTGGAAGCAGATTCAATAATAACTTTCCAAAGGGAATTGGATAGGTGCTTGAAAAGGACAAATTTACAGGGTTATGGGTAGGTAAGAGCGGGGGATTGGGACTAGTTGGATAGCTCTTTCAAAGAACTGGCACAGGCACAATGGGCCAAATGGCCTCCTTCTGTACTGTAGGATTCTATGATTCTATGAATAATGATAATCCTTGCATTTGATATAGCACCTTATCACGTTGTTGAGACTTTAAAATATATATCTGTCCCTGTGGAGTGCCTTGGTGATGTTACTCTGTATGAAGGATGTTGTATAAATTCAAGCTGTTGCTGTGGGACATAGTTTATGCATGTGGAGAAATAAACTTAGATTTTCATTCAAAATATGTCTGGTTTTGTTTTTGCTCCAACACATCATTAAATATGAGAGTAAATTTGCTGCTGCTACCCACATGGTGTATTTTAAGGTTGAATATTTTAATACATTCCATAAGAAATACAAGTTTTATTATTTATTTCCAGGTCATTTTTGGATCAATTTCAGGCCTGCCTGTGCTTCAGTTGGATGTTAAGGAACCCTTTCTTCTTCTCCCCCTTTCCCTCCTCCTCATTTCAAAGTTTAGTGTTTGTCTCCCAGTGATCTAGGCTTACATTCCCTGCTCATCCAAATTCCCCCCCTCTCACCCATTAAAAAAAGACAAACAACTAGTTACTCCTCTCATTACTTCTTGCAGGATGATCACGACATCCTCTTGAATGCCCTCCCTTTACCTCTCTCTATCCGCCTTCAAGTCCTGCCTCACAACCTACCTCTTTGAAAGTAGCTATGACCACCTCTCATTTCCCCCTCACCCTCCCCACCTCCCCGCTCCCACCCCACTCCTGCTCTCCCTTTGCTGGACATCCAACCCCTTATAAAGTGCTCTGAGACTTTGCTCTATGTTTCACCCACAAAATAGACAGCCAATTCACTTTAGAATATGTTCTGTGAAGTGCTTTGCAATGTCTCGAAGGCGTGATAAGGCTCTATATCAAATGCAAAGATTATTATTAAATGTATAAATGCAAGTTACTGTTGTGGATGTGTCTGCCTACATAACAAAATTCAATCAATTTCTGGTCAAACTCATTCAGTAAAGCGCTTCGAGATGTTTCTAGCCCCCAAAAAAGGTCTGTGGTTGATCCTACCTTTCCTCTTGGTGCAGTGGTAGAGCTGGCTCTGTTCCTGTGGCAATGAGTAAGGGTTAGGAGGCAGCAACTCTTGGGTTGAGCTGGACACCCCATTCTCACACTGGTACTGGGAGCTCAGGTTGTTTGAGACTGGAAGAACTCGAACTTCGCCACTGAACTGACTCGGGTTGGAGCCCGTCCGCTGTCTGACTGTGCTCCTGGGGACCACAGGGTACTCTTTACTGCAAACACATGACAGGATTTAAGACCCTTGAAACAAAGCGATGCAAAAATCAAACGTAAACCTATCGTCAGTGCTTCCGATGCACGCACGGCGTGTTCAGCGCTGCGTGTGTCTAGTCTGCTGTAATAGAGAAAAGAGAAGGAAGTTTCTCCTGGTGTTCTAGCCATCAACTCTCCATATAAAGTTGGCTATTCACTTCACGCAGAAAATGCCTACAAACTCGCAGTCACTACGCTTGACAGCAATAACATTCTGGAACTCTACGAGGCATTTTGGCATTAATAAGTGGAGATGAAATTTAAATGCGAGACTTATTTTACATAAAAACATGAAAATTGCTGGACGAAAGACCAAGGCCCATCCAGTTCGCCTTCCACCGTCCTGCTAGTCACATGCACATGTCATGTCCCAAACTATATACTGTATATAGAATAAATCAGTAAATAAATGTTATATATTCTGCTGTAGTTTATCACTGTCCTGTAATCTAACTGAGCCTCTGGAATCTAACTAACGTGTAAAAGCTTCTGTTTTGTTAAAAACTGGAATCGAAGCACATCTCGAATGCAAAGATTATTATTATTATTACTATTATTATTATTATTATTTAAGTTGTTCTCTGACTGCCTTTTTGCATCTATAAGTTTAGCTGGTTTCTGCTTTGATTCGCTTCCAAAAGGGCGAGGGGTGGGAGGAAGGGAGCGTTAAAGGTTTGGTCTGGTTAATTTAATTCAAAGATGTATTTTCAATTAAAACGCTGTTAATTCACATACACACACACACAGACACACATCACAAAAGGATAGCCTTCCAAAGAGAACTGACGAGACTACACCGAGGTTGATTGAAAGGGGAACTGCCAGCCCTATCATCAGCTCAGGAATGCTTTCGCACATTTTACAAATGCAAATGCAAAATGCGGTGCGAATTACCCCGACTGAGCAACTTCTCAATCTCTGCAAAAACAAAACCCAGCCTAAAATCCACAGATCGTTCCACGTAACGACCTCTGATGAAGTTTGGAAGCTGGAAGGAGCTCACTGTGGAAACGAGCCAGACATTTCGCAAGTTTGTTATATATAATATATATACATATATATATAAAATATATATAAGGCACATTGGAATTCAGGTGCAAGAATGAGGAATTAGCTTTTTTTAAAAAAACAGTAATTGGTCTTTGCTCGAAGTGTAACCAAACCCCCCCAAAATAGTTCTGTCCCTGTGGGATGATAGCGTAGTGGTTTGTGTTGAATTTTTTTAAAAAAATATATAGTTTACAAGGAGCAGGCAACACACAGGAGCAACACGTGAAAACTGCTGATTGAATGGGATGCGGTGTTATTTCATTCTTGTCCATTTCCAATAGCCCGAGCTCCCACTAAGCGCTCTGGGACGCTATCCTTGTTTGAGGGGCGCTGTATACATGCAACTTCTTCTTGTTGTTCTACCTTTGCAACCTGGACATTCTGTGCAGTTCCATGTCATCGCTCCCTCGAAACCCTTTGGCAAATGGGTTGTTTTCGATCTTAAGCTGTGTGATCTGAACAAGACATTATTATTATTATTATTGTTATGGAGGCTCAGTAGCTTCGGTTGAATTTTTTTTCAATTGAAGACATCATCGAGTAACAAATAAATGGCAATTACCTTTAATTAGAGGACCGGGTGTTGTTTAAAAGTTGTTGTCATTCGCCTCAACTGTTCTGGTTTTAATGGTTTAAGATAGTCATTTAATTTGTTCAGGTGACCCTCAGTTGGTCTCATGTTTGTGTGGAATTTGTTTTTACTTTTGGGGAGGGAATTTGAATGACATTTTTAAGGTTAAAACATCATAGCTGATTGCAGATGGACATGAATCTAACTTTGTGTACTCATAGGATTAAGTACTCACAAAAAGCTCCATATAAGTCTGTGATATTCTATTAAAATATCTATTAATAAGACCTAATGGACGATAAGACACTGCCTCGGTGGGCGAAATTGCATTTTAATATTCACCATTTGGTTTGACAAACTGCCAAATCGTGTAAGGCAATACATCATAAAAGTAAAATGTTTGCAAGTTACATATATATTGGATTGAACCGGTGAAACTCTCGATCTCTCTTGGTTTTTTAAAAAAGAAAGAGACTGGTTAAAAATACAGCCCCCACCAAACATTCAGAGTTTAGTGTCTCTAACAAGTTCAGTTAGAAGTTTTGAGGCGAACTTTTCAGTCGTTGAGACAATTACATTTTAACCCAAGAATTGGCAATTCAACACTTTATCTGTGTGGGAAGTCATCTTAATAAATGCTTAATAAAGGATCAAATCACGTACCCTACATGAATGGCGCTATATGAGTGTAAATTGTTATTGAAATATCATGTATAACTTACAGTCTTCCCGCATAATGTTCCATGTTCTGGTTATGAACCAGAAATAAGTTTACAAATTCAGCTATTTTAGGGATTTTGTACAGGTACGATTTTTAAATGGTATTTATCTCGAAAATGTTCAATATCAGCAAAAAAATCTAATAACTTTCAGATTAAGACTTTTTTTTAATTAGTCGTGACGCTTTCCTATCGATGCAAGACAAAAAAAACTTTACTTTTTCAAAAAAAAGTTACACAAAGCAAGGTTTCAATCCAATAACGTAAATGCCTTCAACTTGTGTGAATAATGGGTTAATCGCTTCCAGAGGCACTTGGCTTAATCGTCGCAGATTAACCCATTGAAGTTTTTTTTAATAATAAAAGGGGAAAAAAAATGACTTTCGAATCTAAAGGGTTTGATTTCAATTCGTGTTATGGGGACAGATTCTCATAAAAGCTGAGAATGTAAATTAAATCCAATTGATTAAAATGCCTTCAGGAATAATCGAATACTATGTGGATTTCAGTTGGGCAAATTTAACTTGGAAACAAACGGATTTCCTGAGGAAACCGTGTAAATTTAAACCTTAGGTCCCTTGCAAGATTTTTTTTTTTTTGGGGGGGGGACACACTTGGGTAATTTATGTCTTTGCAATATTGGACCTACCTTAATGAGGTCTCCAGTTAGTTGGGTTCTGACCTCAAATAATCCTATCATGTTTCAAATTCCCCCATTTCCCCTTGAAATACTTTCTTTTTTTTTTGAAAAAAAATGGAATGGAATGGAATTTTCTTGGTAACTTAACTCAATCCAATTTCAGGATGATGGTGGCAGGAACTTTTTTTTTTGCCACGTTACATATTTTACACGTTGCCTTATTTTAACTTAACGTAACAAAACTAATCTCTTCGTTGAGAAACCGGTTCAAATCATTGACAAGAATCTTGCATCCATCGTTCATGCAATAGTATTCAACCTGATTGCACTAACGTTTCAGAGAAATGCCTGAAAACCACCCGACTCTCCCCAACCGATCAATTATTAATTTATATTAATTTATATATCTATATATATTTCACAAAATCAGGTTTGATTCTAGAGTTTAAGTGGGCGACATTTTCCCGGTGCAAGTGTTGGCAAGTCCAAGTTGTGAACGTTTCTAACAACGATTACGCTGATTACGGATCGGTTTACGAAACTCGCGTTCTGGCTCGATTCGTCAACTAACGTTAGGAAGAGAAATAGCGGGCGCGTCTATTTGAAAATTCTTTCCCACGATGCGGGAAGGTATTTGAGCATTTATTTTAAAACATTGCGTTAATTGAGGTGAGCTGTTACACTTTTCACCTGAATCTGCATTATATGTATATACTATATATATATAATTATATACACTATATATACTATATATATCGATGCGAAGTTGGGGATTTAAAGCCGGTTTAACTTCACGGAAAAGTAAGGACAAGTCAAAAGGTTTTGAGGGAAGAGAGAAAGTGGGCGCCAACCGTTTGTGTATAGAACCACACATTTTCCAAGAGTGAGCAAAAATAACCTTACAAATTGATCAGTTGTCCTGTCTACCACTTTTTCGAAATGTATAACGTAAATACATTAAAGTACAGTAAATGTATGTTAACGATGAACATCCCTACCGTTTTGGTTGTGTCATGAAATGCCAATAATATTCTTTTATTTATTTCATTATTTTATTCTGTGTTGCCCTTTGAGATGTGATAAGGCGATATATAAAATGCAATAATTATTATTATTATTGTGATTGAATGAGACATTAATACTGAATATCCTTGTCCCCCTCGTCTACTCGAACCATGTCAAATTTAACGCAATAGTGTTTTTCAATTTCAAGACACTTTTGTTTTTCTAACAGAAAAGGATTGAGAAAATTGTTATTTTTTCCGCAGGCAGAAAAGTTTTTTTTTTCCTTTCACCCCCCCCCCCCCCCCCAAAAAAAAAGCATTAACAAAATCTTACCTTGTGGTTTTGATAGGATGTCACAGCGATAAAGGCCGTTTCGGAAAATATGTGAGTGCAGAACGCGGTGTTTTTGGATCCGAATCCGTTATTTTCATCTGCTTTTACTATGTGCAACCGAGGCTGGTATTTATGCATTGAATTCAGAATGATCTGTGAAAGAAATACAACACCTTTGATCAAACACTTTGGGGCCCACGTTAAGATCATTATTATTATTATTATATTTCGTCCATTCACTTTACAGTATGTTCTGTGAAGCCCTTTTGGGACGTCTCAACGACGTGATAAGGAGCTGTATCAAATGCAAGGATTATTATTATGTTATTACAGTTTGAACCACTCTATAGATGTAATTTCTAAATGGTTTTCAGTGAAGGATCAGCCAGACCAATAACACTGCCACGTTACAAATCAACAGACATTAGTTTATTTAATATATTTCAGTTACCTAAAAATAGCTATTTTCTGTTGGCGGTTGAATATTTTGTTCACCAGGTATTTTGTCAAGCCATTTCTGAACAGTCCTACAAACAGTGCCAGTTGGACCCATGATTATAGGAGCCTTGTTTGTTTTACATTGCCACATGCTTCGGAATCAATTTGCAGATCGATATATTTCCTGGGTTCCTTTATTCCTTACGTTGTAATCACTTGGGATCTTAGTCACATGAATATTATTATTATTATTGATTCGCTTAAGAAAAATTGAACTTTATGATGGGAGGGAGTGGGAGAAAGGCGACGGGAAAGGCTCTGTAGTTGTTTCTATTAACGGTGCTGCCTGCTACTTTGCACCCGAATCTTTCTTTTTTAGAAAAAAATATTTTTTTTTAGCGAGGATAATATTTGCTGATCTGAAATTTCTAGCAGTGAAAGTTTGGGAGTTTTCTGGAGTTTGGCCGTCTCCAAACACACATACACTCACACATGCACACACACACACACACACACAGAATTTGCACTCAATCCTAAATGTACATTCATCAATGTTTGTAGACTTTGCGAAGGTTGCTGCCTTTTTTCCCGCAGTATCCCTAACACCTTCTAGCACTAGTAATAACCCCATAACCGCCTCCCCCTCCCACCCAGCACACACATACAATTTTGTGGGAATGTATCTCCTTGCATTTTTTCGAACGGTTTTCGATTCAAGTGGTAATAGATGTCTCCATTCGCCAATTATTGTTAGATCCCAGAGATTGTTTAAGGTTGGAGTGTGTGTGTGTGTGTGTGTGTATGTTGGGGGGAGAGACGGGAGCTGGCGACAGAAAGACGATGCCAAACTCCACCACAGACCCCTCAAGTCACCCTCCCCACCTTTCCCCTCTCATCCCAGAGGTTTAGTTAAATTGGTTTGACAATCACGTAAGTCCTAGACATCAGCGGTGAAACGATCTAATGGTTTTTAATTTCATTACATCCCGCTTAATTGAGAGGCTACAAGTACTGGTTTCATCCAGCAATTTGTTAAATTAATTTCTCTTTGTTGCCTCTGCCTCGGTTTGTTTAAAAAGAGGTTTTAATTCGCCGCCTTTTCACAGTAGGAGAGACAGACTAACAACCGAGGCTTGGGGGACAGTTTCCAAGGTTACAGTTTATTCCACTAACATCTCTCTAAGTGCTCAACTGTGACAAAACACGGCTCCCATTCTCGTTCAGAGAGGGTAGAGGCAAAATAACAGAGACGAGTTGGAAGTTCTCTGTTGGTGTCTCCCCCCACCCCCCATTAGCTTTACACACAAAAAATACTTGTATGTAAACAAAATCCCTTCACTGTCGCTTTCTGTCAATCTCTCGTGAAGTACAGAAAGTAACTTTCAATCAAAGGATGTTATTTTAGAGGGAAAAAAAACAAATTGCGTTGTGCTGTGCAAAGCAAACAGCTAACTTATTACTGGTTTCCAAGTCGGTGTTATGCATATTTCCACTCCCCCCCCCCACCTCCTCAACCCCATAATGCACTGGCCAATAATGAGGCAATCTCCAGGACCCTTAGAAAGGGGTGGGGGGGGGGGAGAGAAAGAGAGACTTTAAATTTCAGGTGCATGAGTTCACAAAGCTTAGCACCCAACATTTTCAAACTCTGTTCCAACTCCAGATGCATCATTAAACGCAGTTCCCCACTCCACCTCTCTTCCCTGTGTGCCTGACTCCCCCCCCACCCCCAAACCCCCACCCCGAGACCATTCCAATCAATAACACAGACCACAATAACAGTCGGTAACTATGTACATTAAGCCCAGCACCTGCGAATGAACAGCTCAATAGCTGAACCTTGGCCATTCCCCTTTCACGCACAACGTTTCCGGGTAACCCTCCTTGGGACCTTGGGGTCGGTTGGTTGCGTCCATCAACCCCCCCCCCACAATCCCCCTCCCCCCCACCCACCACCACCAAAAAAATATATATAAATAAATAGAAGGAAAGCCAAGACGTTTTGCAACTGGCGAAACCCATCAACCGCTGTTTGGTTTCAATTCAGACCCATTCCCCTCCATGGGTCCCAGCCCAGCCAATCCGTCCCCCTTTGAGCCTGGGAGTGTTTTTTCCACGCTGTCAAGGCAAATTGGGGAGTCTCTCGTGGGAATGGATTTTTACAGAGAAAGCGAAAGGAAAAAAAAAACAACAACACAATAACACTTACGTGCCCGAATGGGTCAAGGTGGTTGTTGGTGAGTTTGAGTTTCTGGAAGGAAACCAACTGCCTCATCCAATGGGCTCCTGTGGCAGGTGAATCCGGGTGAACGTACAACCTCCCCGGCATAGCAGGCTCGGCTTTGCCCGTCACAGACCTTGATTCAGAGAGAGAGAGAGAGAGAAAAACACACATTTAACATTAGACCCAGCTAAAATGCAATGGCTTGACACCACTTTAAGGCAAAACGAATTTAGGTCTCGTCCCCAACCCCCAACATCCCCCCCCCCCCCCCAAGAAAAAACAGACCCCCATGTTAATAATATAATAATCCTTGCATTTGATATAGCGTCCTATCACGTCTTCGAGACGTCTCAAAGCGCTTCACAGAACACACAGAACAGCGAATTTTGTGGGAGAAACCTCATGTAAAACAAACGTGAATTTGCGTTCATTCAAACCAGGTCAAGTCTTTATTTTTTTTTGCAGCATTTTACTTCCACTTTATATTACGCATTAAACTCCAATATATGAGTGAATTGAGGTTCCATGCACCAGTTAATAATAATAATAATAATAATAATCGTCATCATTATGTAAATCGCAGGCCTTGGCTTTTTAAGCCATTAAAATGTATTTTAACGACAGGCAAAAAATTTCGTAACACCATATGTGAAGCACTATCCCTGAGCATGAGTGCAATGACAGATCTTTTAAAAAAAATACACTGTCACGAATCACATTTTACAGTAAATCCTGTGAAGTTCTTTGAGGCGACATGAAAGGCGACTGAGCAAATGCAAGGATTATTATTGTTATCACTTATATTTATCATTCCTCTATTTCAAAAAATATATACGTTATTAAGTAACGTAACACCAGAGACCGCTTAGTGATAATAAGTCATAATTGGCATCTACATCTTGACTTATTATCAAAAAGCGAATGATAACAAGTCGACCATTATCCAGTTCTTTTTGATTATTCAGTTTCTATCTGAGATGTCTCGAAGACGCGATGAAGCACAATATCAGATGCAAGGATTAATTCTTCTATTATTATAAACCGAACCCTATTCAAAAGCGAGCAATATTGAAAGCAACTGATGTGTAAATTTAACGAGAAAGATATAAAAATAATATAGTGAGAGAGCACTTACCATTTATTGTCAGCAAATTTGTAACGGTGATCATCAGCCGGTACAATGTCCATTAACAGGATATATTTTGTTTTAGGGTTTAAGCCGGTCACCTTCACTTTGTAACTGGGAAACATACGCCTGAAAAAAAGAACACAAACACACCGAAAGTCAATGTGTGTGAAAAAAAACAATAGATTATTGTACACAAAAAAAGTGTTGAAGGAGATGGGCATTTTTAAGGGGAGGGAAAAAAATCGACATCAGCGTTTTAGCTTATTTCCTAACAAAAGTGAATGTTGATTTCGTTCTGAATGAACCAAATCATAAGAGAAAGGGAAATCGGTGGAAGGTGTGTGTGTGTGTGTGTGTGGGGGGGGGGGGGGGGGGGGGGGGAGGGGGGGTCTACTGGAAGAAGAAAACCCCAACGTTAGTTTTATATACTTAGGAAAACATATTCAGTTTTGCCCACAAAAATACACAGCCATTTCACTTTACAGCAAATACTTATTAAACGCTTTGAGGCGTCTCGTAGACATGACAAGGCGCTATATCAAATGCAAGGATTATTATTATTATTAAACATTATTTTTAAAAAAGGCAGCGTTTCACTTAAGTTGCATGAGAGCGAGGTTTCTGAATGGCCTACTCCTGTCCCCATGTTCCTGTATATATGTTCCTATGATGATTTGCTCTGAATAATACGTATGTGATCTTGCTGATGTTTTTTTCCCGGATCTAAAAGTGCTTGCTTGTTTGCTTGTTGATTTACAAATGTGAAGCAAATGTGTTTACAAAACACTTGTGAAAGACCCATCCGATTTTTTTTACGGTAGTTAAAAGCAGGTCCTCTCGGCCGAGAAGAGAACTAAATTGCTCCCTAAATGGAAGCGTTGTACCGTTGTACTTGTCTCGACGAATTAGCCAGAAAAAAAACAGCTTGTATATACATGCAACACCATATAAATATTTATCAGATCGCAATGTAAGTGGGTGAATATATATTATCAGTGCGGGAGACAGAGTACTCTAACACACTGCTTTTGTGGGACAGAAAAAAATAACAAGTTGGCGTATGCAACACAATATACATACCGAGAAGGGCTGTTGTTGCCTTTTTTTTGCGATAATATGTTTTACTGAGTACACAAAATTAAGACTTTGCCGTTAAACATTTTTTGAAAATAATTGTGTCGAGATATAAATTCATATACCAATCTATATAACAATTTAACGCCTTGTTTTAAAAAAAATAAGTTTTTATCGAAACGCGAAACGTAATGGAGAGGAAGGAAGAAAGACCGCTCGGTTTGTATTTTCAAGATTTAAAAGAAAAGCGTTTAAAAAATGAATTGAATCTTGCTACTTGACCAAAAAAAAAATGAACCCATCTGCGGTTGCAGTGGGAAGTGGGCACTTTGCGTCTCATTTAATACTTTAACAATCTGAGTCTGTGTGTGTGTGGTGTGTGTGTGATTACATATTATCTACGTGTCGTGTTTGGACGCTTTCCAAAATTAAAAATAACGCTGCGCAACCATAGTGTCTGAAACAGAAGTCCAGTACAACAGAGTTGGAGTAAAACGTTTGCCTTTATTGCGGGCGTTGTAACGAGACAGACTGTATTTGCATCCTACAACGTGCGTGTCCCTCTCTCTCTCTCTCTCTCTCTATATATATATATATAGGCATATTTCTATCTCTCTCTCGTTAGGTCCATTGAGCCTGACACTTGTCTGATCTCACAGCCGCTCGAAACGACGCGGTATTAAAAATTGATACAGCGTGGGGGTCTGTTTAACGTTGCGCATTGGAGTTATTATCCGCCTATTATATTCCCCTCTTCTGAAACACTTAAACATTTCCCAGTGGGACCTGACAGATTTTTTTTTCTCCCCACCGGGACAAAGGAAGCTTTTACCAGTTTGAACTTGAACTATTATATACACACATATATATATATGTGTGTGTGAGCGTGTGTCTAAAAAAAACACTGTGTTTATAAGTCTGGTTTCTTTTTGGACAACTTAGGTGAGTGAGTCTACACACACAAACTGGGTAAGTCTGAAACAAACGGGGATTCATCTCACGGGACAGGGTTTTGCAAATTACCCACCTTCCGGCTTTCGTGATGATCATTTCAGTCCCGACCTCATGAAATTTTAACCATAATTCCCGCTCATGCAAATAAACCTTGATTCCTTCCATGCCCTACAATACGTAGACACAGTAATGAGTAATTTGGTCGCTCCTATAATTGCAAACACAAGTGACATCAAGGCAAAACACACACACACACAACTCATTTACACAGTTATTTCCAACATAACTGCCCCCTGAAGTTCACTGATCGGAAATTGTCTTCAAATCACAACCCGATAGGATGTAGGTAGAGAAACCAATACAATTTGACCCAACATAGATAGGTTTTTGGTAAACTGTCAGCGATAAAGGTGCTCTGTGTCTATTTAAAACTTAATCCGCGCTTGTTGTGCCTAAAAAAAAACTAAAAATATTTTAAAAAGCGACCTTCAATAAATAAATATACATATTGTTTTAACCTGGACAAAATTAAGGATCGAGAAGCACAAAAGCACACGTACATATACACACATGTAAACAAATATTTTCAATATAACCACCCCTGAGTTCACTTAGCAGAAATAGACAACCAAGGGAAAGAGAAACCAATAGAATTGACCAAATATAGGCCTCAGTGGAAAGGTGGGTTGTGTCTATTTAAAACTTAACCCGTGCTTGTTGTGCCATTCAAAGCAATTTCGTGAAGATACAGCGCCCTAATATTTCGCCAGTGTAAAAGGGTGCCCAGCTTACTAACCTGTTGAGTGTATGTGGCTTGATGCGGGGAGGGGGATTTGTTACCGGCTCCTGGCTGGCTATCCTGCTTACTCTCAGTTGAATGCTCCTTGGGTTCAGAGTCGTTGTGTGGTGTGGTCACAGCAAAGCTCTCCTCGGTCTCCGCCATAATTTTTTTTTTAACCGCAACAGTCCTAGCAAAAGAGGTACCAAAACCCAAGCAATGTGAAAGTCCATGCTAACCAATCGAAGTGATAATAATAATAATAATAAATAATAATAATAATAATCCTTGCATTTGATAAAGCGCCTGATTAAATCTATCAGACGTCTCAAAGCGCTTCACAGAATATGTTGTAAAGTGAATCGACTGTATGTTCTGCGGGCGCAAACGCAACACAATCCTCTCCTCGCCTGTTCATCAAAAAAAGAATCCCTTAAAATATTAAAAACAAGGCAACCTAAAAAAAAGTATAGATTGTTTTAACCTGGACAAAAATTAGGGATTGAGAAACTCGGGCCTTTTTTTATATGAGGTTATGCGAAATTGAAAGGAGAGGGAGTGAGAGGGAGAGAGAGAGAATGCCAATCTTAACCGAATCCCAATAAGATAAACGAGTTATTCACTCAATTCCCCTGGAGTTCTGGAAAGACTAATAAAGATAAGACTCCAGACTCTTTCAGTGCAAACGTTTGATTGGAGTATTATAATGACATTCACGCCAATTACATTTCCTTGGTTTTATAGAGTTGTGTTTGTATGTTAGACCCACACACGCACAGACCCTACCACCACTACCCCCTTTCATCGATTTGATTGCCTTGTTAAAGTGTCTGTAAGCTTTCGATGTTAGCCTGGGGTTGGAACCCATGTTATTACAATTTATATTGTTTCCTTGGCTCTTTGGCCAAGGAATCACTCATTTTACACTCAAGGGTTAGGAAACGGCCTGAGCACGTGATTTGCATCGTGTAGCTTTCAAAAGTGTGTGTGTGTGACCCCCTTCCACTGGATCATAACACTGCAAAACATTTTATGTATTAATTCCGAGAGAGAGAGAGAGAAAACGGGGGAGAGAGAGTGTTAAGATTGTGTCGTGATGGGAAGAGCACTGCGTTACTCAAATTATTGTCTCCTTGAATGGACCTCTCATCTAACTTACTGTCATCATAGAAATAAAACAAAACACACACCCACAACGTTGTCTATATACGGCAACGCTGCACTCTACTTTGTAAGTAATTATGTTTGATCCAATTCTGCTTTTAAACCCTTCCAACAAATTGTGATTTTTCCTCCCCAAAAGACTGATGAATGGATTTCATGGCGACGTGCACCTATTCCTGATTCCTCGCTTTCCCATGTTGCTTTCCATTTGTCACAACAATTTATGCGTATCTTGCGAAAAAAAAATGAATTGAAGTCTGGATTTTACATGTCATGGGGCAGTGGGGTGGGGGTGTGTGAATGAAAACACGTAAAAACGTACAACGATACTCACAAGACGTGTTTATGTATAAATAGCAACATCTCCCTATGCTCAGCAACTTAAACAAGCGGGTGTGTTTAATACCAAATAGAACTAGGCCTGTATTTAGAATTATTACGCAAACGACAGGGCTGGAGAGGATTATAATTGGATTTTTTTTGTAGGTCAGGTTTGCTTGTATTTGAGAATTTGCTCGAATTGTTGCATTACTATTGCAGGTTGCAATAGTATTGTAGAATATTATTGGAATGTTTTTGCGTTACAGTGTTATTGCAGGTTGCCACAATATTATAAAATAGTATTGCAATGCTCTTGCATTATCGCAGGTTGCAATCATACTGCAATGCAATAATATTTTAATGATTAATGCCTTAACCCTCGCGGAGACATAATTTTGTGTGTGGATACACGTTGAATTTGGAATCTTTTAAACGCCTCCAGTATAAATATTTTAACATTGTCTGGGCGCTAAATTATAAATACAAGTTATTATTTTTTCACAATAGTTTTAATCACTTTGTTTCCACCTCGCCTGCTCCTTTTAAATGTAAGGTCTGTCTTTATATATATATATATATATTTCCCTCCAATCTGTCCATGATTTTTTAACGGTCAAGAGACTTAAAGCAATCCACGTATATTTAGACATTTAAAACGCTCTAATAAATAATTAACTAACAGCTAGCGCCAAAAAACACACACACACAGCGTGTGTATTTATCTCGGTTGGAGGAGGTGTAGCAAACCACAATGCCTAAGAATAAAATAATTATTTAACAAACTCCTTCTAAATTTGAAGAAAGCTTTTGAAACGAGTTCACTGAATTTATATTTCCGAGACGAATCGCCACTGGGTATAGTGATATTTCGCATAAACTTATTGTGCCTCAAATTACCTTATTTTTTTCCCTTGTCGGTCTGCTGATTAAATATTAAGTATTAAATCAACGTTGCAAAGCTAAAGGCAGAACTAATAATGCGATGCAATTTAAAAATTAAAAATAATAATAATAAACGTTCACTTCAAATGTAACTATAACTTGCCAGAAACGGCTTGGAAGAAAAATACATATGCATATACATATAAAATATATGTTTATATATATATTATGTACGCATAATATGCATTTATACACATATCTATGGATATATACTGTATATTAAAAAAAATCAAAGTTTCTCAGTGGAATCGAAGGCAGACGAGGAAGCATTGTGTGATGATATCGAACGATGATTATTATTTTTTAAACAAAAAAGAGAACACAATTGACGAGGAATATATTTCAAGCAAAAAAAAAATAAAAAATCCTTGCCTGGATGGATGCCATTGGGTTAAATAACAGGGAAATAACAGGAGACCGATTTTGCTGTAAATTTAGAGAGGTTTAGAGACGGTCTGACCGTTCACACAGACAGGCCCGCGTCGCCAGTGTGTGTGTGTGTGTGTGTGTGTGAGTAAATATACACTACACAGCGGCCACAGCTCTCTATTGCGCGGTTTATATCAGATTTCTTCTACGCGTTGAAGTTTCCTTACGGCGATCGATAAACCCCCAGCCCTGTTAATCGGCTTCGGGTTCCTTTAACTTTGCCTGGTTTGCCATTTGTAACAGGCGAAACGCTTTCTTTTGTTTTATTTTTTCACCTAGGCCCCGTTATTCGCTGGCGGAGACTTATATACAGGAGATGGAAGCATTATCGCTCATGCACACACACACACACAGACACACAGACACACGCACAGACACACACACACGCACACACACACACACAGACACACACCGAGATACAATAACACAACAGAACGCGAAGAGCACAAGCCAACACGACTCACAAAAAAGTAACAATTTACCTTCTTCACTCCCCCACAATGTAATCGTATATATATATATATCTATATATAGGTATGTAAATCCTACTCAATCGTGTCTTCTGGAGTCATTCACACAACACATCCCAAGGCTGAGGAATCCATGGCTGTCCAGGCTAGACTTCCACCAAAACACGTCCAGGTTTCCAGTTAGCGCACTTAGCCAGGTTTCCTGAGAAGAAGATAAGGTCTTATCGCAATGTTTGGGACATCTAACCGACGCAGAACAAAAAAAAGTTGCCGTTTTACAGTGCTTTTACTGTGGTGCTGAGCGTGTGGAACGGGTTACACAGCACATCCCAAAGCTGCGCGCTGACTGGAATGACGTGTGAAGCTTCACTGCTCTCCAAGTAGTGAGCGTCTGTCCAACCAGTGTTGATCTATAGAGAGCTACGCATCCCAGACAACCCCCCCCACCCCACCCACCCCATCACCACCCCCCCCATCCCCTCCCCCCCACCGCCCCCCCAGTCTGGCAGCACAAAGCAACATGAAACTCAACAGCACCCCATCATCCATCTTTTTTTTCTCCCCTGAAGAAAATACAAGCCCCCACCACACCCCCCCCCCCGCCCAATATAAGACACAGACCACAACAACCTTCTCCCCCAACCACCACCCCATCCCCCCACCCCTTGCCTCCTCCCCTCAAACCAAGGGACATTTCATCGCACGCTGGATCGATCCATCGACCAAAAATATCCTGCCAAACTTCACTGTGTGTGGAGTACAAATGCAAAAGAAAAAAAAGGCTTTTTTTTTCGAAAAAAAAGCTATAGATAACTTACTTGACAATTCACTATGACGTTATCCAGATGGGGGTGAAAATCGAGAAAGTAGCAGACTTTTCTGAAGAGACAAGCATTGCGATAAAGTACTGTGTTCTTTCTTTTTTTTTGGGGGGGGGTGGATTGTTTTGAGATGGGAGTTGTTTATAAGCTGGGGTGGGGTGGGTGGGGGGTGAGGAAAATTATATGTGTGCTTTTCGTCTGTGCATGTGTGTGTGTGTGTATGAGTGTCTGTGTTAGAAACCGACCAGGTTAGGTCGAGTCGATGTTGCTCTGTTCCACAAAGTTACAGATGTTCATCTCCAATCAACTGTTTCCTTGCAGTAATTCCAAGAACTAATAAAATAAGCAAATGCTATTTCGGTGGGGGGGAATAGAGGTGCGTTTTCTGTTTGCAAGACTGCATTTTTTTTAAAAAGCTGAGTGACACACATTCAAACAGCACATTTTTTTGCAATGCGAAAACAAGAAAGGGAGAAGAGGCGAAAGGGCTTTTTTTTTGGGGGGGGGGGGGGGGTGAGAAGGGAATTAATTCATTCTCGGCGTTTTCATTCACTTGGACTATTTCGTGGGCAGTTTTGCAATTCAATCGCATATGACTTCTTGCCCGTTAACTTCCCGGCGACTTTTATTCGCGATTTTTTAAAAGAAAGCAAAGAGAAAGTTTCTGGTGTGTGTCTGTGTCTGTCTGTGTGTGTGTGTGTGCATCCATTTTAAAATGGTGCACACGAGCTAAGCACAATCTCTCCTTGCACGCAAACTTTTCATTCGGTTAAAGGGTAGGAATGGAATTGCATCGTAGGGTTTGAGCGAACCTTAATTTCTGAGCGTCGGCTCATTCGGGAAATGTGTTTCTGCAGTGATCAACGTGAAGGTTAATGAATTCGCTTCTGCTGAATTGGAACAAGCTTGAGAATGCAGTGCGGCTCGGTATCTTACAGAGGAGAGAGCAGAGAGAGAGGGAGAGAGTGTGTGTGTGTGTGTGAGAGAGAGAGAGAGAGAGAGACAGAGGCCCTGGCACTTAAATCTGATTTTAACCCAGAAAGCAATGATTTCTGAAACCAACGTTATCAGATGAGCACAGGCGAGTTTCAAGCCCTTGCACACATGGACAGAATCAGACAATTAACACGCCAACTGGCGAGCAAAACCCTTTCCTTCCGTATCCCTCACACTTTGGACAGTGACTAACGTAACGGTGAACCTCCTCGAAAACACAATGTTCGCCTTCCACGCAAAGGAGTTTAAGTGTTAACACAAATAACGCTGCCAATCTATTCGCTGAAGGGAGCCAATAACGCCTCCAGTTCAATGATGTGTAAGGTTACGATTATTCCAAGATGGAAGGCAATAGTGACATTCGAGAATAAAATGTTGTTGGTATTAATGGTAAAGCGTAGAGTTTAAAAAAAAACCAATATATATATATTATTATATTCACAAGTGAAAATGAATGACTAGGTACAAAATGCAGATCGAAAGGTGCAAGTCAAGTGTGTGGGTGAAAACAGAACGTGCTATAAACCGAAAGCACACAGATTCAATAGACACGTCTCACAAATAAATACACATACAACCAATCTGTCTGCAAATTACACAAATTGAACCAGAAATGCGGTAACACAGAAGCTTTGTACCTACCTATAAGGTGTAATAATTGATCTGGGGTGTGTGTGTGTGGTGGTGGTGGGGGGGGGGGGGGGGTATTGAGTTCCACAGCATAAAAACAGGAACTTATTTTCTCTCCCCCTCTCTCTCTCTGTCTGTTGCGTCCAAACGGTTAGAGAGACAGTCAAATAGCCGTCGGCCCGTTTGCATCAGAAGACAAGAAGTCTTAAACCCGACTATGTCAGACTCCCAACAGATTAAATAATAGTGCTGTCCCCCTTTCTCTCTCTCCCCCTTTTCTTTTCCCCCCTCACTCTTGCCAATCACGTGCTGTTAAAATAACGTCCCGGGAATGTGAATCGTCGACCCACATAATCACTCGATATGTAGAAACCGGAAAACGTCAGCGTTTGCAACTAACTCCTGTTTGTTTTCGTGTGGGCTGTGCGATTGCCACGCCAATGGAGGATTAAATTCAATTAATAGTGTTGCGTTCAGAGGAGAAACGGATTGGCAATAAAGAGGTTAGGTAGGTAAGGTTCAGTCGTTGTTAACAGCATTTATTTGACATCATTCTGAAATGCTTGATTTTTTTTTGGGGGGGGTCATTAAAAAAAATAGAAAAGGGCAATAGCTAAAAGTTGGACTGACTGAAACTCAATTAAAACGTTTTAGATGTGTGCATAATTTAAGCTCAGAGTGCTAGTGAGCCACTGGTTTTGCTCCCCTCTCTGCATTCTTGTCAAATGAGTGAACCGACACCTCAGTGACATGTGCTCTGCTCTCCATAAGTCATCCATAACCTGTTGTTTCACAGAATCAAAAGATAGAGAGGCCGGCGTCCAATTATTTCTTCGTGATTAAGTATAAACCCAATCCGGCCCCAAAAAAACATAAAGCACAAACTCAAGGTAAAACCTTTCAGCCGCCTCCACGATCTCCAGACAGATCCCAGTGATGTTGTGCTTGAGCTGAATGTGTTTGTGTGTATGTGTGCTGACCAAAGAAAAGTGTGCGTGCAATGTGTGTGTTGAAAATCATTGCATGCAAAGTCACTTTATTTTTTTCTTTGTTACATATAATCTATATCGATGTAAAGATAGTAAAGATATAAAGATGTAACTTTGCAAAGTTGCAAAAAGTTGTAGAGGTGGGCAGAACCTTAAAAAAAAGGTATTGGTGACTTCAGAGTTGATTTACCAGGAAACGACACAAGATTTTACGGTGAGTAAAAAAAAAAAAATCCTGTTGATTTTCAATGAAAGCGATTATTAAATGAATGCGGGTCTTATGAAGTCTAACCCCACTTTACAAAACTGTTTGTTAAAATCAATGCAACTTTGGAGGGATTTATTCAATTATTGATTCATTTCCCTCCCAATAATGATCGTTTATATATATATATATAGTCCCTTGTACGCCCAGTTAATATTGTTGTCACCCAAACCGCATGTTGGAATGATATAAACACAACAATATCGTGTTTGAGCCACAGAGCCGTGCTTAACGCCTCTAAATGTTGCATTAATAAGACAAAACGGTGTTTTTTTCTCGATTAGTGTACGTATTATGCCTTATTGCATAAAGGATGCTTACTTGCATGCACAGTGCTGCTGTCCATGTAGGGAGGGGGGAAATTAAGGGGAAAAATTCACAGACTCCCTCCCCCTGCTCCCGCGTCTTATTGTAAACATGGGAAGTCTAGAGCTGTGAAAATGGATGATAGCAACAACCCAGAGATAGTGCAAAAATAATAATAATCCTTGCATTTGATAATAGCGCCTTATCATGTCTTTGGGACGTCTCAAAGCGCTCACACGATATACTGTACTGTAAAGTGGATGGATTCTGGTGTTTTGTGGTCGAAGTGGGGGTGTGATTTGCGTTCATTTAACACCAAAACGCAAATGTTGCTGCCGTTTGACCGCAAGTGAGTGAGAAGAGGGGAGAGAGTTTGCATACAAAAGCGCGTGGACACTTCGAAGTGCGCAAAATCCCTCCCAACTTTGGCTCGAGCGTAACGGCCTGAATCGCATGCAGTTCGGTGGAAACGGGCGGGCAATTCAGCGAGCAAGTTAGCACTTCTTTTAATTCAAAAAAAAAATCAGCATTGCGAGTAGGCGGTCGAACAATTCCCAGCATTCGGATCTCCCGTGCCTCGGGGTCTAATTCCAAGGTATAAATATTTATATTTATATGATGTTAATCGTCGCAGCGATCGATTATGCAAGACAACGACAACAACAAAAAAATGCACAAACCTAGCCTAGGCCATGGGGGCGTTAGACAAAGAGTGAATCTTATTCTATTTGGGCGACTTGTGGGCTAACTTAGGTTTGGGACGGATTTCGACGCGCACAAAACTCGCTATTCGCTGTTCGCTCGTCGTATATTCTGTCCACCCCACCCCCACCCACCCCCACCTTAAAAAAAACTGAATGAATGAATGCATAATGCAAAACTACCCTTGTATCTTTTCCCCCCTCTTGCTTCATTACCTCTCAGAACACTTGTCAACCTTATACAGGTTACGAAAGGTCAACGCGCGAGGTGAAGCTTCGATCTGAAAGCGATTATTCACATTATTTTAATAGAGACTTTAAAAAATAATGGAAATGCGGGGCAACTTTCGCAGAATGCAGAATGCAAAAGTTGGGTACATTTCCCAGCACCGTCGAATTCGCATTCGAGTTCGCATAAGTACGAAAAGACGCCCACATCCCTCAGATCTGAGTTCAGTTCAACTGACAGGTTCTTTTTGATCTTATCTGACATGCAATTTTTTTTT